GTTAACACGAAAAAAAAAAGGAGCGATGCGGTATTTATATTACATATGGGATATGGAGGGAGGGGGGAGAGAGCTGTCTCTTATACACATCTAGATGTGTATAAGAGACAGATGCGGTATTTATATTACATATGGGATATGGAGGGAGGGGGGAGGGGGGAGGGGGGAGATTGGAGGGGGAAGATGTGAATGGGGAAGGTGGGGTGGTCAGTAGGATGTAGCATTATGTAAGGATGGGGAATGTTAGTTTGAGCTAAGTCCAACAGGTCAGCAGGGGAGTCTACCCCAAGCTTAGCGATTGGATCTATGATCCGGGTATGTATGTGGGGGGGGTTGTGCACGCAACACGGCCATCCCACTTGCGTGGGAAACCGGTGGTAGAGCTCACCAAAGCCCCTTAGAAAGTTAGTCTGCATATACGCAAAAACGCAACAACATCCAGGGATATTAGATCAGGGAAAGAGAAAGTGAAAGCGGGGAGGATTAGATTAGGAAGTAGGTAGTATTAGGAATTAGCGTTAGTAGGTTAGGTATTAGGAGAGGGATAGGTCCCAACCATAGGGGGGGTGCGCGCCCTTAAGCGCGCTTTTCGCTGCATAGCACCCATAGCAGCTCATCAGAGGGATTAGTATTAGCTCCAATCAACAGTGAATGGGGAGGGGGGCATTTCGGGAGGGTAGGGAAGCGAGGGACGTAAGGGGGGAGGGGAGGCATGGGGCAAGATGCAGTTAGGATTCCATACCTGAGGGGTCAAGGCCGGTGCAGCTTGAGGATCAGTCGCCGCCATAGCGCTTCGTGCGCTTGCGTAACGAGACGTTAGATCGCTTTCAGCGTAAGCTGATCATCCGGTGAGCGGACGTACTTCTCACTGACACCCAGAGTAGGAACAGCAAGGCAAACAGCTCTTCCTTCAGGAGGAGAAGCTATGCCGTGAAGGAGATGGTCGGGTTGGTCATGCAAGCGAGAATTCGTGCGTTAGCGCACGAGGGCGCCGGCGGTTATGAAAACAGCCGAATCTTTTGCATGTATGGTGCATAGCAGAGAGGGTACGAAGTCTGCGGGTAAATAGTATATGATAGAATACTAAAGTTTTTAAGGAGGGTATACCATAGATTGGGTAGCTTGGGTGTAAGGGTAGTAGTTCCATTATGGCAGAGGTTGTTACACCGATATGAGGGGTGTATATGGCGCTTTTGGATACGGGGGGGTAAGAGCAGCGTGTAGTGACTTCCTGTACAGGGACCTTCTTAATTTTGTGATGGAGAGGGTAGGGGGGGTATCTGCGTATGTTATTTTTACCATAAGTGACGGGTCTAGGTGATGTAGTCCTTTGGGTGACGTCAATGGGTACATGCATTTGGGGTGTGGGCTCGGGTGATATTTTTTTGGGGGGGTCGTAGTGGGATTACAGCCGGTAATAATGTGAGAGGGTATGGTCGTCGAGATGTCAGGGTTGTACCGTTTTCTTTTGTTTGTATGTGTATCGGCCCGTGGGGTTTTGTCTTATTGTCTGTCGTTTTTTAAGGGGAGAGTTTTGGCTATGGCGGGAGCGGGTGTTTGTCGTTTCTTCTTCTGTCCATTGTGTGTGTGCTTTGTTTTTTCGTCCCGTGTCCGATTGTGTCGTTTCAGGGTGGTGGTATTGTGGGTTGTGCCTCTATTTGCTTGGTAGTGTGGTACCGTGCGCGAAGCGCTTTATGCGTAGCGCGTGTAGTTTGTATAATTAGAGTTTAAGTTATCTGCGCTTTTGTGTTTATTGCTGTGCAGACCCATAACTGTATTACGTTTGATGTATGTTGTGCATACATCATTAGAGTTTTCCAATTCGTGGGAGGTGCGGTGTGTGATGCATTGTGAATACATGTATCCGTCGTTAATTGGGGGGATCATGGGTTATGCGGAGGCCCTATTTTTATACATTCATGGAAACAGTGTTCCTTTTTTTTATGTATTATATGTACAAAGTTAGCTAGGTTCAGGCTTTAATTGGTTTGTTTATTACCAAAGCATGTGTGTATTTTATATTTTTAGATATGCATATATATTTCAGTTATTATTTTATTATTATTTAATTGTTATTTTAATTATTTCTCTTTATTTATAATATTTAATATTTTAAATTTTTAAATTTTTATTTTTTTATTTTTTTTAAATTTTAAATTTTATTTTTTGTAAGGAAGCTTAAAAAATTGAATTGTGAGAATGTGTGTGTGTGTGTGCGTGTGTGTGTGTGTGTGTGTGTGCGCGCACGCGCGTGTGACGGGTGGGGTGGGGGGTGGCACGACCTCTCCTCCACCAATCAATGAATCAATCAATCAACGAAAGAAAAACAAACCGAAAAAAAAAAAT